GGTAGGTAGGCGATTCCAAAGCATTGACAAAAACTTAATTTTAGAAACAGGACATATTTAAATCCTAAACAAATTAATAAATGTGCAGAGTGATTGAAATTCTCAGGGATTATTTTTTAGTAGTCATAACATCTCAGGTTGATATTTTTAAATATTACTTTTTAAACATATTTAATATTTTAAAAACCACCCAGTACAATCTTTATTAAACATTCATTCTAAATTTAATAAGAAGCTCTCCGTATATCATTTCCCAAAAGCATTAAAAACTTGGCTCTTCTGACATTCCTTTTTTTAATTTTCTTTTTATAAAAGTATTTTTAAGCTTTAGTTCAACTAGCAATAGGTAGGTATTCACATGAATTGAGTCGAAATGAAAAGTATATTGAACTTAGGCTTTTTCCCAAATCATAATAAATTATCCTTTTTCTGAAACCTATATCTTCCTTTGCAGGACATGATCCAACATTCTTAGCCATGTCACTAATGCCCCCAATATTTTATCCTCAAACTACCCATTAATCCTTATCTCCAACCATGAACAAACATAAATTTCTATCTTAAGAAATAGAATGTGCTCAAATAAAGGAAAGAGTGGGAGCTGTAACAGCCGTGGTAGCTCTTTGTCCACAGAAAACACCATGAGAATTCTTATTCCTCAGCCTTTGCATATACTGTTCTTCCCCTGTTATGTTCTCCTTCCTTTTTGTGGTCCAGTCTAAGTCCTGCAAAGTTCTCCATTATGCTTCAGTATCCTCTCCATCCCTGAATCTCCATAATTTTCGTATTCATTTGATACTTTCTGCCTTTTGGAGTAAATTACTTTTATAAATTAATATTTATTAGGTATTAAGACCAACTATGTTATAGGCAATGCACTAGGTACTCTTGTGTTCATAATAACCCAGAAAGTATACAGCGTGTCCCAAAAACTGTATACACAGTTACATAGTTAATAGCTGATAGCTCAATTGATGTTTCTTTCTTTTCATATTTAACCCATTGGAATTAATAATTATTCAATGTATGTATATATTTTGGGGACACAATATATTGATATCTCTCTTTACAGATAAGGAAAGTAAGATTTAGGATTTAAAGTGGTTAAGAAAAAAAAAAGGCAAACTTGCCAGGGTCACCCAGCTCATGTATGACAGTCAGGATATAAAACCAGGCTTCACAAACCACAGTCTTTCCACCATGGCACCCAGTGTCATTTTGTTTGTCCATTTACCTTATTCATTGATTAGGGTGCATCATCTTCTCAATCCAACCAGGACTCACTAAGGCATGTGGGCCTGGTGGGAAGTTACTATAATAGTCTAAAAAAAAGTTAATGGAGAGAAGGCAGAATCTACAAACTCATGGTCAGAGATGATGGGAGAGAAGGATGACCCTGATACTTCTGGCTTCTGGAATTATTTTACTTACTCTAACCAACATTATGAACCAGGAGCAGAGATGAGGAAGAGAATAGTCAATGTGAGTATCCTATGCAGAGATGTTTATTACATCCACCTAGAGCTTCCCAGAGACTGGGTATCCCGGTTAAGAGCATGGTCTTTGCTGTCAATTATCCCTGGTCTTGAACCTAAGCTCTACCATTTGTCAGCTGCATGCCTTTAGGGATGTTACTTCATCTCAAATTCTCTCATGCAAAATAAGAAGAATAATAATATCCACCTCAAAGAGTTTTAGGAAGATAATATTAAATAATACATATAAAATTCTAATATAATGCATGGCATGTCATAAGTACTCAATAAATGGCATGTTATTGCTAACTAGAGGCTTAGTGCAGGGATTCATGCATCAATGGAGTTCCTCAGCCTGGCCTTGGGGGATCCGTGGACCTCTGTGCTACTGCAGCCCAGGCTTACTCACCAGCTCCTCAATCCTGCACAGCAGGAAGTAGTGTGCGAAGTGGCAGGTGACTGGGGAGGATCCTGAGCCCAGCCTGGGTGCTGCACTGCTCCCACTCATCCGGGCCCCCACTGCACCTGCCAATGCTGTTACTTAGGTGCACAGTGGGGAGTGTCTGTGGGAGAGGCTCGCGCTTCCCCAGCCTGGGAGTCTGGTGCCCATCTCTTAGCTGAGTAGTGCTCCCATTGTGGGAGCACATTGACCACCTGGGCTCCTGTGTTGAGCATCTGCCCCCTGGTGGCCAGTGCACATTATAGCTACTGGCTGGTCATCCAGTCATCTGGTCACCCTGTTGTTTAGACTTTTTTATATATATAGATAACACAGATGATTGCAATAGTGTGACACCAGAGTAGGAGGCATCTGAGCTGAAGATGGTTTTAGATATCATTGGTGTATGCACAATGGCTGTTAGTGGAATACAGTTCCATTTGTTCCTAGCTCATCCTCAATGCCTCCTTCTTGCTTACAGAACAAAGTCTACTTTATCATAGGCTAACAGTTTCTGATTTCTGTGCTATTGTTCAGAAATTTATTTTTCTGAAAGTTTTCCGCAATAGGCTGCTTTGTATATTATATACACTACATACATCTATATACTTCATCTGCTAAAAATGAAACTATGCATTGTTTCTCTCTATATCTTTAACTTTCTAATCTCTATTTTCTTTATGTCTTACCTAAGCCTAGAATACTCCTCCAAATGCTATTCCATCCTTCAGGGATGTCACCTCTTCCATGAAGTTCTTTAAAGTCCTCATAAGCACTTAATATTTTTTCTGAAAGTTTATAGAAAATTTTCACATCTCTTTTATAGAACTTATTTTATACCTAAAATACATTTAGGTCACTGGTTATCCAGCTATTCTCCACAGCACCTTTGGGATTCCACATAGGTGGGAGTGGGAAATGGAGAGGCATTTTGGGGGAAAGAAAACAACCCGAACCCAAGCATTTACTCAAGCACAATAGAGCTCAGTTCACTGAGCCCATGTCCTCGCCTGGCTTGTCTCTGCTCCCCTGTTGGACTGACTGCAGCTGACAAGCCAAGAGAGAACTCCCGGGCTCCCCTCATCAGAAACTTGGTGGATCTAACAAGGAAAGGAAGAGCAGGATAAATAAAAACTCCAACGCTCTAACCAGTAGTGGATTCTGAAATCTTTTATTTGTTTCCACGTAAATATCAATAATATTACTTGGATATATTATTAATATCAATATTAATACTCTCTGAGAATCAGGAAAGCACTAAATACAAAATCAAAGCTTAAAATAGAGGACCTGCCCAGTATGCTTAAGAACAAAATATGACTTAGATCCCTTATGTCATTCCCTAAGTAGAAAGGCACTAGGTAACAGTTGATGAGGAAAGACTATTAGCATGTCCAAAATAAAATCCATATAGTAAAAGAAGTTACCTAACTCAGTGTTTTTCAACCTTTTTTGGGCAAAGGCACACTTGTTTCATGAAAAAAATCACGAGGCACACCACCATTAGAAAATGTTAAAAAATTTAACTCTGTGCCTATATTGACTATATATAAAGTAATTCTCTTGAATAGGAATCAAATAAACACAAAGAAAGTATTTTATAATTACTTTATTATGAAATATTAAGTAAACAAAATAGTGAAAAATTATAAAATTCTTGTCTTGTCTGCACCTACGGCACACCAGGCAACATCTCGCGGCACACTAGTGTGCCGCGGAACAACGGTTGAAAAACGCTGACCTAACTCATACCAACCAGTATATGGACATTTAGCATGTACTTTCACAGTTTAGCACTATGGGCATAAGATTCTAAGGGGAAACAGGATTGAAAAATGGGAAAGTATTTGTCCAAAGTCATTTAGCTAATTAGTGACTCAGACAAATTACAATTCCAGTTTCCTGACTTCCCATTCAGTTTTGTTTCCACAGAATTCTGTTATGTCCAGAGAAAACTGAATTATCCTTTTGAAGGAGTGACTTAAAGGGGATATGCATGTTTTGACGGGTGAAAGGTGGGGGAGTGAGGCTGCTGCATAGCAGAAATATCCCCATGTGGCTGATGGAGGGATGCCAGCGTGCGCATTTGCCAAGACAGGCCATGACACCAAAGACAAACAACCCACAGAACAGTTATGCTTAGGGCTGGAATGTGCACACCCAGGTGAGATATAGTCAGAAATTCCAAACTTAAAAGAGAAAACATACATTTTCTTAAATATTATCTGTAGTCATAAACATTTACTTATTAGATATCACTCATTGAGTAACATCAACTTGCAGACTGTAGTCAGCATACACACACACACACACACACACACACACACACACACAACCTCTGAGTGGTTGAGACAGATTTATAGAATATCTTGCTCAGAACAATTGGCATAAAGCATTTAGCCCCATGCCTAGTCCATAGTAGATCCTCCATAAATGTTCCCTATAGTTATGATTGGCCACCACTGGAGCTTGGTTACTCTTAACTTATATACAATTTCTCTTATTTAGCTTTTTATTATCACTTATTTATGTCTCCATAACAGATTAAAATAGAAGGGTGGGAATATAATTAGAGATAGACACTTAAGAGGAGATGGAAAACTATGTTAAAAAGACAGAAAAAAATTCAAATGTGATGAAAACCATCTAGTGCAGGACCATCTTTCTGGAGCCCAGCATGATTATTGTGATGACACAGAATCATCCAGAAAAGGTCTACATTTCGCATGCTCTACTTAAAATGGTAGGGAAACATTGGAAACTATTAAAACAAATTTTAGCCAAAATTTAAGAGCCTACAAATTATATCTGAAATTTTGACTTATGAAAAATTGGATGTGTTCACAATGTTATGAGCCTGATACATCAGAGGAGCATTTAAACTAAACATAAGGGATCTCATTGAAAAGCCTTGGTGTTGCCAAAACCAGTTTGGCTCAGTGGATAGAGCGTCGGCCTGCGGACTGAAAGGTCCCAGGTTCGATTCCGGTCAAGGGCATGTACTTTGGTTGCGGGCACATCCCCAGTAGGGGTGTGCAAGAGGCAGCTGATCGATGACTCTCTCTCATCGATGTTTCTAACTCTCTATCCCTCTCTCTTCCTCTCTGTAATAAATCAATAAAATATATTCTAAAAAAGAAAAAAGAAAAGCCTTGGTGTTAGCTGATTCTAGTCTCAATAATTGATATAGGATCATATGTGATATTAGGATCTTTCTAGATAGAGATCATTGTTTTTCATAAGATACAGTAGGCTCTTGGTGACTTTGACATAAAGTTGTATCTGATAATATGATAGAATTACTTCATTTCTGAAACCAGCAATGTGGTGTGCATGTACAAGGCATGGGGCTGAGTGTTACCAGCATAAGCTGAAGGGTGCATACGTGATCCATTGACTATCAGTAACAAAAATGTTTCCCTCCCCAGACTGTTTAAATTCTTACTGGATTTTTGAGGGGAGAATTGCTATTAAAAACATTTAGAAGGTGGAGAAAGCGATGTGGTAGAGGAAAAAAAGCCTGGACAGAGTAATCTTTATCTTAGCCAAATCCTGAAGCAGTTTACAAGCTGATTTTCCTTCTTAACTTCACCCAGTAAGAGGTATTTAGGCAACATGCAGACTGCAACACATTCCATCCTCGAGAGACAGCTGCGGCTGTCAGTGGGGTCCACGCCACTTCCGACTGATTCGTCGGCCCGCTCCTTGGTCTTCTTCATTTCAACAACACCAGATGCCAGATTTCCAGAAAATGCTCATCCAGTGTCTTTTTCAATAAAGCAAGTTTATTAGACCATTTCCTGACCAATAGAAACAATGTATCATGAGGAAGAGGCACCTAGTTTCTTTTTGGGCAGAAGTACCTGACAGGCTTGAGGCAATTGTGAAGGATGAGGGCTAGGTGCTTTAGAATATATGAGAATAAATAAAATTAAATGATATGTAAAATAAGTCTTAAATATCCCTGAGTGGGAGTGGGGGAATCTTCTGATCACATCCTGTGTAGCCAGAGGTGGGGGCTGATCTGGGACGACTCCTCCACTCCCAAGGAAGAACCAGTGTCCTGTCCACCTTGAGTATGGCATTCGAGCTTGGTGCCTGGCTTAGGTGTGGCCATCAGGTCCTCATTCATTAGCACAGTATCCACTAGGATTTTGACTAACGAGAATTAACTCCCCACCATTCACTTGGATGTCTGCACAAGAGGAATTGTGAGTAGTCACATTCAAGTAGACTTTGTCCTTGTAAAGCAGAAAGGCCACAGTGATGGAATTGACAGACGTGACCTTGTCATGGGAGAAGAGGGGTTCCGAGTTATTCCTGTAATGAAGGCTGAGGCTGAGCTTCTGGGAGAAGTAGCCCTTCACGGAGACGAGATAAAACCCATCGCATCTGATGGAGATTGAGTTGTCTTGTACCTTCATGGTTTTCTCTTCGTTTGAGGATTTGAGGATGAAACCTTTTTCATTGTCACACTCTAAGGAGGGTAGGAGAAGAAGAAATAAAGAGATTCCTTAGCACAACTTTTGGCAATAACATTCTTCTAGAAACATATTTAAAGACAGTGATAGGAAGAGATTTTGAGAAGAATGAGAGGAAGTGGGCATTGTGCTTCACCCATGGGATGGAAGAGGAGGTAGAGCTAGCCCTGGTACCCAAGACAGTCCCTGATGGGGCTGGAATTTAAGAGCTGAGAGATTAAAGCCATTGGCAGTTGTCACAACAGACCTGCGGCAGGATATGGAGCTTGGAGGTTTCCCCGATTTTCAGAATAGGGAAGGACTGGCAACCTCAGGGCTTCCTTGTTCAATAGTTCAATAGACACAAAGGGTGCCTGGAGGGCCATTGCTTTGAGCTCTCCCCTATTCTCTCTCCACCTGACTGTGAAATGCACATTTTCCATGCCCTGGGCACTGGACTCCCAGCAGCATTTACTACTGGCTTTTACCAGCAATTGCTGCAGCTTAATAATGCCGCTGTGCACAGAATGTCAGTGGGTTCAAACTCTGCCCAGAAAGAGGCAGGTGAAAGAGCTCCAGAACACAGACCTGCCTCTCCCTCCTACCTTATCACTAGCTTTACTGGGGAGGTGCCTTGGGAAGAGCTGCTCCACAAAAGAAGGAAGAGGAGGGGGAGGAGGAGGAGGAGGAAGAGGAGAAAGAGAAAGACAGGAACATAGCGTGATGGCTTTGGTACCTTCATGGGGAGCCATTCCAAGTTTAAGCCAAAAAGCCTAAATTTCTTTTTAATCAGCCCCAATATGGCCAAGCAACTACATCTCAGACTCCCCATTCTGGCCCATGTCCCTTGGTAATAGGGAAGAGTAGGTCCCCACTGCTGGGCAAAATTCGGTAATTCTTGCTTTGAGCCAGGCCCATGGGGCATGCTTGAACTGGAAATGAAGACCTCTTATGGAGAGCAAGATATATTTCCCTCAGGCTCAGGAGAACTTGATAGACAGTGAATAGTCTTAAACTGCTGGTGGATGTTTTAGTGTTAGTCATGGATCCAAGTCATTCTATCCTTCTGAAGTATCACCTGGCCTTCACATCTGGGACCTCCCCCATCTCTCATTAAGGTAAAATCTTGACATATACCAGAATTACTGGCAAAACTTAGGAAGTAAAGCATTAGTTACCTTACCTTGAAAATAAGAATAATTCCACCCTACCTGTTTTTTTTCTGAGTGGTTAGAGCGTCAGCCTGCAGACTAAAGGATTACAGGTTTGATTCAGGTCAAGGGCACATAATTCGGTTGGAGGCTCAATCCTTGGCCCCAGTTGGGGGCAGTGAAGAAGGCAACCGATTGGTGTGTCTCTCTCACATGGATTTTTCTCTGTCTCTCCCCCTCCCTTCTATTCTCTCTAAAAATCAATTGGGGAGAAGGGGATATCTTGGGATTAGGAGTAACAACAAAAAAAGAATAATTCCTACTCAGATTCCTGAAAGGATTAGTAAGGCATCTAAAGGCATGTAAATTAAACACAGATTTGATAACTAATGACTCCCCTTTTCTTCTTTATATGCCTTCTTTGTCTCAAATATAAACATGCAGGATTCAGCCATTCTAGGATTTGATGCTTCCCTAAGAGATTCGGAGGGAAGGTGCTTTTTAAAAAATCAAACTTTTGACAACACTTACCAGTAAATTGTGCTTTGATACTTTGAATTGGAGGATACTGAAGTGGCACCTGAAGGAGGAAAAGAGATAGTTTTAGGAAAATAAAGTAGTGAAAAAAATGGAATTGACTGTTAACTACTCCACTTCTGTTTCATATTCTATAGGAGTAGCCTAGAGACAGAGTGACTTGCCAAAGATGGGTTTTTCCATGGAGATCAGACCCAGACTGCCAACCTGCCCACTGGCCTTTCTGTAACACCTCTTAAGATAAGTTAGGAGTGTTCTGCCCTTTCATGTAGGCAATAAGGTCTGTGCTCAGCTCTGCCAAACTCTCCTTTGGTGTGTTGTTTTGGCTCACTGAGTCCCAATTTCACATTTTGGATAACAGAGCATTTAATAGTCATCTTGTCAAGAAACCTATTCGGTCGCAGAGATCCATTCCCTCCTGAAGAAGGCTGTGCCTGATCCATCTGCCATGGCCACAGACTCCCAGAATGCACTGGGAGTGAATTCTGGAAGCTTCCTAGCTCTAACGCAAGAGTAAAAGTGTTTTATTTTCAGGGCACACCAGCAACAAAAACTAGTGTAATCCCTCAGAGATGTGTAGATGTGAGTATAGCATATTTTTTACATTGGTTTTCTCCCTTCTCCAAAGCTTGAAAACCTAATTTGAACCCAGAGAATATTTAACAGCAAGAAAGAAGAGAGGAAGCCCAAGGGATAAAATGTCTGCTATAATTTGACGGGAAGAAAACAAAGAAGTTTAATAAGGAGTAAACTCTAAAATATATGAAGAGGAAAAAAAGCAAAAGGTGGAATCATGTATAAAGTATATGACTGTGTATTTAAAAAAATAAAAATAATGCTTGCATGGGCATTGACTCTATCTGAAAGGACACACAAAACACTGTTTGCAACTGTTACCTCTGGAGAAAGGAACTGGAAGCCTAAAATCAAGAATGGGAGCAACCCTCACTTTTCATGGTCAACTTTTTAAAAATTTTGTACCATCTGCTTACATCACCTATTAAAAAGGGAAAGCAAAAAAAGAGAGCTCACTGTCTCTTGTGCCTGCCAAGAACAACTCCTCTTTCCGCAGGATGCTTTTTGGCTGATGAGAGTTGTGGGGAGGAATTTGTTTTCATGCCCTGGGGTGTGGAATCCCTGCCTCCCACTCCCTGGCATACAAGTAGCCACAGTCAAGTGGATTCCTCTGGTGACTGCCCACACCAGAAGAGGAATCCCCTATTTCCTGCAGAAGTCCAAGCACAAGCCTAATGCAGCTGAAACCAACAGGCCAGGAAGGTAGAAGGGAGAGACTTTCCCAGCCCTGCCAATTCGTAATCCCCAAGGGTGAATAAATGCCCCACTGCTCTCTAAGCCAGCAAGTCAGTCCCAGCATGAACCTGGTTAAATTTAGAGAGTTCAGGGCTCAGCCAGCAGCAAACTGAGTTCTAATGTCAGCCAGGCAGGGATGGTGTCATCATGGGCAACTTTCACAACTTCTCTAGACCTCAGTTTTCTCATCTTTAAAATTACTAGATGAATTAATCAAAAGATCCCTTTCAGCACTAACCGTCCATGATCCAGGTTTCTGAAGTTGCAACCCTAAGTCAACTTTCATAAAAGCGGAAAAGACAAAGTTTCCTTATCCCCAAACTTACATCAAGCCATCGGATCTGAAAGCCCTCATGATTGGATTATTTGAGTGGCTATGCAAAAATCTCCACATGGTTTCTGCGGTTCAAAGAAATCTGCCATGGTTTTGAAGTGCCCTGATGACGTAAGGGTAGCAGTGTCCCAGAGGACATTCTCTGAGACCAGGAGGCTGAGAGGCAGCAAGGAAAGCTCACATGACTTCCTCTTGGTTAGAGCTACTGGAACTCCAGATTGAGGCTTTCTGTTCCTTGTCCTGATGGTTACTCAGTGTTAGTAATAGACATATTCTCAGAAGTCTCTAGCATCAGTACCATTAAGTTTAGACAATGTTGTGAAATAAAATAAATGGTCCTTCCTCTTGCTCCCTGTCCTGCCTTAACTCTTCCCCTCACCCTCCTGAATAATTCATGCTGACAACCCCGCTGCCCAGAAATACCCCCACAGGACCCCATTCAAAGTTCTCTATGGCCCAGCTCCAACCTCCTGGTCAAATTTTATTTCCACACATATTCTTTCTGTGTCTTATGTTCTAGCCAACCATTTTCTCTCTAATCTTTTTGCCCTTGAATAGAGAGTGGTAAGATGAGAGAGAGCATAGCCTTGAAGGTCAGATTCAGTTCAAATTGTGACTTCTCTAATTTTGCAAATTTGGAAACATTATATAGCATTTCTGAGCTTCAACTCTCATGCCTGTGGAAATAAGGCATATTGTTATTGGAATATTCCTAGGAGATGACTGTGAAGTATAAATAAGATAGCATATGTGAAAGCACCCAGCAGTTTGCCAGGAGCATGGTAAGCTTTAGAAAATACTTGCTTTCTTTGTTCTATCCAACAAGAATATCCCTCCATCTCTGGCAACTCTGTCATTCCTGTTTTCTTGGCTTCAGTTATGACAGCCCTCACACCCAGGAGGGAAGGAAGCCTGAACTCAGTTCTCCCTTTGTGCTCTTGTGATGAGGTCATGGTGAGACTATCACCCTGCCAATCTGCTGTGTGTGCCAGCTTCTCTCTCCTCTGAGCTTGACACTGAAGTGGACACAAGAATGGGATGTTAATAACATCTACCTAAGAGTTCCTCCTCGCTCCAAATTTGAATTGCCGGGGGAGGGGAGGTCTACTTGGTAGTATGATGGAAATCATATGGGAATAGAGGGGTGGAGTTGAAATCTTCCCTTTCTTGGCCTCAATTTCCTTATCTATAAAATACAAGTTCAACTAGAACAGTGGTCAGCAAACTCATTAGTCAACAGAGCCAAATATCAACAGTACAATGATTGAAATTTCTTTTGAGAGCCAAATTTTTTAAACTTAAACTTCTTCTAATGCCACTTCTTCAAAATAGACTCGCCTGGGCTGTAGTATTTTGTGGAAGAGCCACACTTAAGGGGCCAAAAAGCCGCATGTGGTTCCAGTATATAGCAGTTTGCCGACTACAGAACTAGAAGATGACTTCTTGTGCACTCATGCTTCTGAGATTGCCTCGTTCAAACATCAGGGCTGTACTTTGATTGTGGTGTGTAGACTGTACTACACAGACAACCATGTAGAGTTGGCTAAGGATATCTTCTCTGGAGAACTTCTGTCAATGTAAACTAACAGGAGTTTGGGGACGGTGTAGAGTCTTCAGACTTTTCCAGATTGAAGCAGCTTTATTGTGTAGCTTGTCCTTAGATGGAACTCCTCTGGCAACTTTGATATTTTCCATTTTATTAGTATCTGGAGAAGATCTGAGGATTTTTCATATATATATATATATATATATATATATATATATATATATATTTTTTTTTTTTTTTAATGTTTGTGCATGAGTAAAAAAAAAAATCTTCTGATATTTAACCTAATGAAAGTATTTGTCTGAGGGTCTAAAATTAATTTGAAGTATTTTCATCATCTGAGCAAGATTAAAATATTGGGTTTTAGATAGTTGTCAAAATATTCAGATGTATTTCAAAATTCTCCAGAAGTTCTCCAGAGAAGATTTCCTCAGCCAAGGCTACTTAGTTGTCTGTGTAGTACAATTTGGCTTAACCTTTAGCTCTGAAGAGGTGCAATTGACCTGACTGTGGGCAGCGGCCCATGGACAAGTACAAAGTAGACAGGTGCTGCAAGAAGAGGCAGAAGTAGGTTCTTTTCTGGCCTCTCATAGTACCTTGAGCACTGAACTGTTGGAAAACAAAACAGGCAAATGTCTGATGTCCAGCCTTTACCCAGCAGCCTGTGCCATGTTCCCAAGAGCTCATCTTTGAAGAGAGTTTCTAATTCTAACTTACTGGGATGTTGGCAAATCTTTTACTCACTTGGCATTTGTGTTGGAAGAGGGTATCTTATACAGGAAGGAATAAGCCTCAGGAAGGTTTGAAACCAGAGCTCTACCTTCACTCTGTGGGCCTTGCCTTTTCTCATTAGATACCCAGCCACAATGTCAAGATGTTAGGTGGGAGAGGGGTTAGTGTGGGAATCAGTGGAGCATGGTGGGGAAACAGATCTGTGATGGGGATGCCCCAGTTCACTATGCCACCACCAATGGGGTGTGAACATCCCCTCCCCATGCCTTGGGCTTCATGTCAGAGGAGACCTGAGAGATCATGGAAGCATACCCTCACAGCCTCTCAGGGTACATCTCAAGGAGCCTCGCAGGAGAAGATGGAATTTTCCATACTGAGCATACAGTAGGGTGGGAAGCTAGACTCTCATCCTGAGGCATTCGGTGGTACTCAGCAGAAACAGCCTCCTTACCAAGGGCAAGGCCTTACCTTCTGATCAGGGAAGTTCAGAACCCCATGCAATGAGAGGACTAGGAAGAATGGGCAAAATTGGTTGCCCATATTTAGAAAAATCTTATCCTGAAAGTTACATTTCTTAGAGATGAAGATGTGTGGCTCTGAAATCCTTGTTGAATAAAGAGTCTATTGGGATCTAATAACACAAAGAACAGCCATTTTAATTGTTATCCCAAACTTTCTTTCTCCTTCACCATGGCTGTCAGCACCTTTCTGATATAAGCTCTCTTAATTTTCATTCTCTTCTCTACTAGGCAATCCATGCGATACCCTAACATAGCCCCCTCTCTAAACACTTACCTTTTTCTTGTCTAAATTACTTAGTAATGGCTACCCCACAGAGAGAACCCTGTCCTCTCTATCTCAGAGAACAAGAATTGTGGTTTTGTTGTCCCAGAAGCTTAGCAATTAATAGATTCCTAAGAAGGATCTCAAGAATGAACCAAAAGCATCCATGTGACATGAACATGCCTTAAAATTATGTGATTGACCAAATGCAACCAACTTTTGCTACCCTCAAGGGGAAGATTTTCTGATATCTGGGTTTCCCTTTCCACATGAACTGGGGAAGTCCTCCAAGTATACCGACAGAGGCACCAGCCAAAACATTTCTAAGAACTCTCTT